CCTCTGGATGCCAGGCACTGTTCTACAGAGGCAGACTCTGGGTTCAAATCCTTGTCCTGTCACTTGCTAGCTGCTTGCCTTAGGGAACTTATTTAACCTCTCTGTACCTTGATCTCTTCATCTGTAGAATGCAGATCCTAAGAACACCTGAGAGAATTATTGCAACGATGAAAAGAGTTAATATATGTAAACCTTTGGACCTGGCTGTTTGGAGTTGGGCTCTGAGGCTGAGGACTTGGACTTGGGTACTTGGGGTTGGGTACTTGGGTCTACTAGTTCTTGGAGTCACCAAGTCTCTATGTCTTTACTGGCTTTATACAGAAAATTAAAAGGGTGACATGCTAGAGCAAGCTGTTCCCACACCGTGAGTGAGACACAGGTATCAGTACAATTTTAAGCTCTCAGGTGATTCCGAGGGGCAGACAAGTTGGCAATTACTGTGGTAGAGAGAAACAAGGAGGCAATTTTAAAGTAGGTGGTCAGGGAGGGCTTCTCTGAGGAGGTGACATTTGAGTGAAAACCAAAGAGTGCAGAAGGAGCCATCATTGAAAAGTTAGGGGGAAAAGCCTTTGGGAAGGTGTCTGGCCTAGGCACCTGCATGCCTGGAGGTGCCTTTGACCCAAGTGTGAAAGACTGGAGGAGAAATGGGCTTAGTTTGGTGGATTCCAAGGATGAGTGATCATGGCTGAGTGAAGACCCCCACCCCTTCTGCAGATCAGAACCTGGAGCAGCTAAAGCACGCTGTGCCCTGGTAGCTGTGGGTGCTGGGAGGCAAGCTCTACTGGTTCCTCAAGAATTTGTGGTCAGGCTGAGGCAGGCAGATCACCTAAAGTCAGGAGTTCAAGACCAGCCTGGCCAACATGGCAAAACCCCGTCGCTACTAAACATACAAAAATTATCCAGGCATGGTGGCGCATACCCAGCTACTCAGGAGGCTGAGGCGGGAGACTCACTTCAACCTGGGAGGTGGAGGTTGCAGTGAGCCGAGATCACGCCATTGCACCATTGCACTCCAGCCTGGGTGACAGTGAGACTCCATCTAAAAAACAAACAAACAAACAAAAAACAAAATAAAAACAACAAAAAAAACTAGCTGGATGTGGTGGTCCATGCCTGTGGTCCCAATTGGGAGGCTAAGGTGGGAGGATCACTTGAGCCCAGGAGGTCAAGGCTGCAGTGAGCCATGATTGCACCACTGCACTGCAGCCTGGGTGACAGAGCAACACCCTGTCTCAAAAAAAAAAAAAAAAATTTCTCCCGTGGGGCCACGCCATTTGTTCACACAGATAATGAACCGCTGGGCCCCTGCCAGCTTCTGACTTGGCACTGGACGTTTCTCTGGGAACTGGTGCTTGGAGCGGGGAAATGGGAGCTGGATATTTGAGGCCAAGTACTTGGGGCTGGACTTCTGGGGCTGGGTTCTGAGACCGGAGACTGGGACTTGGATACTGGGGGGTAGGTGCTTGGACTTGCTTTTTGGAATAACCAAGGCTCCATTTCTTTACTAGCCTCTACAAATGAGCCTGTCCCCTAACCTGACTATCCTTTCTGTGGCTTCACGGCGCAGAACTTCACAGTTGTGACCTTACCTTGTCTCAGCTGTCTGTTCCATGGAGACCCAGAAGGAGGGAAAGAGAAATCTGTTGTGGGCCTCTTCAAGGGGCCTTCCTGGGACCCCTTTTCCTCCCGCTAAGCCAGGAAGCTCATGCTCCCTCATCTTCCACCCCTCCCCCAGCCATCTGCTTAAAGGAAGTGGCTCCTCTGTTCTTCACAGGAAGCCACAGGCCTCCCCTGCCTCGGCAGCCTCCAGCTACTGTTGCCCCAGGCCCTCGGCTGGCCCAGACCCCCCTTTCCAGGCAGAATCTAGTGATGCCTCATTCCCAGCAACCCCCTCTGCTGCCTAGCCAAGAAGCGCGTGTGGCGTGCTCCTCTCGCTCCTCTCGTTAACTTTCATCCTTGTGACTTGGGTCTGGGAGCGCAGGCAGTGAGCCTGGAGGTGAGACCTGACTGCAGAGAATCCTGAGTGCTGTGCTCGGGAGTTTGGAGATGCCCAAATTGTAGGACTGAGGACTTGGAGAAGAGAGGAGGAGGTGGGCTCTGGAAGGATTCTCTGATGGACCACTCGTGAGCTTCAGGAGCTCCTGCTGCTGAGCAGGGGCAAGGTCTACTCATTTCCGTCTCTAGCTAACCTTGGTGGGGCCTGCCCCAGGGAGGGCTGTTGGTAATTGTGGAGCTGCTCAAGGCTGATGAGGGCTGATGGATTTCAAGATAGGACTGTACTGCCACCTGGTGGTCAGATAAGCACATAGCACCATGAAATTTTGAGTGCCCCTACCGGGAGAATGGTGATTCAAGGGTATGGGGGTCCTGAAAGGCTCTTAAAGAACAAGGAAATCCCTAGATTAAAATGTTTTATTTAAGAGCAAGACACTCCTAACTTGAGCACTTGAGCAAGACATTCTAGGTCTCGACGAGAGTCCAACTCCTTCCCTTCTCCATTTTACAAAGTGGGAAACAGGTCCATAGGAAAGTGATGCGATCAGAGGGCCTCTACATTGGCAGTCAGAGATGGGATCTATTTTTGGATTCTTTTTTTTTTTTTTTGAGACGGAGTCTCGCTCTGTTGCCCAGGCTGGAGTACAATGGGGTGATCTTGGCTCACTGCAACCTCCACCTCCTGAGTTCAAGCGATTCTCCTGCCTCAGCCTCCCAAGTAACTGGGACTACAGGCATGCACCACCACGCCCGGCTAATTTTTCTATTTTTAGTAGAGACGGGGTAGAGACAAACCCTGCTAGTTTCTAGTTACCCTCATTTGTGACCAAACATGGGCATCGCCCCACACCGTCACCCACTTTAGTCACCAAAGTTGGCACTACAGAGTGGCTTTTGGCTGCTTCCAAAAATAAAATTCATCCTCAGAAAGCCAGGATCTGACAGGGCTGAGGGGACTCAGAAGCATGTGCTTCAGGCTCAGCAGATGTTTTAGAGGAGGAAGCTCTGGAGACCACGATATCTAACACCCTCACCCTAGTTTCGAAATCAAGGAAGAAGGCCAGGCGCGGTGGCTCATGCCTGTAATCCCTGCACTTTGGAGGTCGAGGTGGGCAGATCACTTGAGGTCAGGAGTTCGAGACCAGCCTGGCCAACATGGTGAAACCTTGTCTCTACTAAAAATACAAAAATTAGCAGGGCATGGTGGCGCACACCTATAATCCTAGCTACTTGAGAGGCTGAGGCACAAGAATTGCTTGAACCCAGGAGGTGGAGGTTGTAGTGAGCCAAGATCACACCACTGCACTCCAGCCTGGGCAACAGAGCAAGATTCTTCGTCTCAAACAACAGAAAAAAAACAACGAAACTGTACTTAACTTGTCTGAGGTGACTCAGTCCTGGAGCTGGGCCCGGACTCAGCCATGTATCTCTCTGAAGGTTGCTGCCAGGGAGGCATCTAAAAGTGTATTGAGGCCAGGCGCTGTGGCTCATGCCTCTATTCCCAGCACTTTGGGAGTGATCCTCAGGTGGATCACCTGAGATCAGGAGTTCAAAACCAACCTGGCCAACGTGGCGAAACCCCTTCTCCACTAAAACTACAAAAATTAGCTGGAGGTGGTGGCAGGTGCCTGTAATCCCAGCTACTTGGGAGGCTGAGGCAGGAGAATCACTTGAACCTGGGAGGCAGAGGCTGCAGTGAGCCAAGATCACGCCACTGCACTCCAGCCTGGGCGACAGAGTGAGACTCCACCTCAAGAAAAATTTTAATTACTTAAAAGTGCATTGAGCATCTCTGGACTTGTGATAGTGAATTCTGGTGTGTGCTCACCCTTCTGCCACAGGCTTTGTAGATGGGATGATTGTGGTCCCTGAAAGCTGGCAAGGGTGAGGGTGGGTGAAAGGAGATAGGGGTGGGAGGTGGTGACAGGGAAGGAAAAGGTGGGGTCCTCAGTGCACCATAAGCCCCAAGTAGGTAGGAACTGGGTTCCATCCATGGTGGTGTCCTTAGCCCCCGCCATCACTTGCAGAATGAAGGCAAGGAGTTATCCCTCACAGGCCGGTCCCAAGGGATCCTGGGGAAGGTGGAATCTCCCTATAAAGAACTGGTCATTTCCAGTGTCATTCAGCCTGAGGCCTGCTGAGGCCTCAGATCTAAAATTCCGGGGCAGAGCTGTCCATCTCTCTGGCCTTGATGCTGTCCAAGGGAATAAGTGGAGGGGGCTTCTTCTAAGGGCAGAGACCCTAATTTGGTGCCAACTTTGGAAGAAATGAAGAATATGGTCTGTGAGCCCCAGAGAGTAAACCCTGACTCCAAAGTCATATGATCTAATTCCTGGTTGTCACTTGGCTGTTCCCTCTTTGTTTTAGGCAAGTCCTTAATCAATCATAACTGACATTTACGGAATGCTTCCTATGCGTTTGGGTTGTCCTTTCCTTCCTATTCAGAAGGGCTATGAACTCCATATGCAAACTGTTCTCCCTATCCCCAGAGTCCTATGAGGAAACGGGGGCCTTGCCGAGCCCTCGAAAAGCTGCTGTTACACCCTTTCCTCAGAGCAAAGGGCTGAGTTTATTCTCCATCTGAGGGTGATCACTAGCACTTCTTGAGAGAATAGAGACCTGGCTTCTCCATCTCTGCCTAATCAGAGAAGTACCTGGAAGCTTCTCTCAGTGAGAAGAAACTGAGTTCTGCCTCCCCAAGCACCCTGTGGAATCGAGTCTGTCCATTTAAACAGGAGGCCCTGCTAGGCAGGAGTCCAGAGAAGGGGATGTCTGAACTGAGTCTGGAAGGATAGAAAGGAGTTTTTCAGGCACATGAGCTTCTGAAGACATTCCGGGTAGAGAGACCAACATTTGCTAAGGCCCAGAAACAAAATCAACTGGTTGTGTTCCAGGAGCTGTGGTTGACTCGAAGGGAAAATGGGAATGGGGGTGTGTGGATGGCACAGGCCAGAGCCAGATTGTTTGGGTTTCTCACTGCAAACATGATTGACAGCAGGACAAAGTGTTTTCTGGAAGAAGTTTATTCTGTTTTCTTATCTAGGTTGTTGGGGACAGTGATAGAGAAAGTTCTGGATACTGGGCATGGTCGGCACATGCTTGTAATCCTGCTTGGGAGGTTGAGACAGGAGGATCACTTGAGGCTAGGAGCTGGAGGCTGTAGGGCACTGTGATCGCATCTGTGAATAGCCACTGCACTCTAGCCTGGACAACATAGTGAGAACCCATCTCAAAAAAAAAAAAAAAAAAAAAAAAGGCAAAGTTCTAGATCCTAACTGGAAGAGTTAGGCTAAGAAGGAAGAAGAGTTCTGGGAGCTGCTGGCTACTCTTCATCCTCCTCACTATCGAGATACTTGTGGGTGGCGTAGCCCAGCAGGGCACCTATTTTACCCATGGCGATGCTGCTGCCGCCAGCCCCTGTAAAGCAAACACAGATGAGTCAGTGGGGCCCAAGCGCCAGGCCCCGGAATCCAGATGTCTGGAAACCATTGGTTGAGTCCAACTCCTCATTTCTAGATGGAGAAACAGAGGCCCTGAGAGGGGATGGCACTACCACAAAGTGAGTCCCATTTTTACCTTGCCTTGACATCCCACATCACAGATGTGTTTCTGTGATGAAAAAGGCAAAAATAATGGCTCCTTCACTGGATGTCTTGCCATGGAAATGCCATGTTATTAATCATGCCAACAGCCACCTTCATGGAGCCCTGTGTGCGTGTGGGGGGTTCACAAGCCAGGGATCATTTCATCTTGTCACAGCTATGTGGCATGTGAGAGGACAACTATTTTATAGCCCAGAGGTGTCCCTGGGCTCGCCCACACTCTTCCCTTTCCATTGCAGGGGTGTGGCCTCCTCTGAGCAGGGCTCTCTTATTTTGGGCTGGTTCTTTGGGCTTTTGCCATTCAGAATTGAGAGAAGAGAAAATGCAAGGTTCAGAAAGGCAGAGAGGGAAGTTTGTCGGGGGCAGGTTTTCTCCAGGATTTTGGAGGCCTCAGAGCGAGAGAGAGTGGTGGGAGTAGGGTGGGGAGAGAGGACAGAGAGGGAAGTGAGGCCATTTTTTATGAGTCACTCTGGGCCGGCACAGTGGCTCATGCTTGCAATCTCCCACTTTGGGAGGCTAAAGTGGGAGGATTGCTTGAGCCCAGGAATTCAAGACCACCCTGGGTAACACAATCAGACCCTGTCTCTAAAAAAAAAAATCTGGCGTGGTGGTGGTATGCGCCTGTAGTCCCAGCTACTTGGGAGTCTGAGGCAGGAGGATAGCTTGCACCCGGGAGTTTCAGGCTGCTGTGAACTGTGATCATGCACTGCATTCCAACCTGGCTGTGTGAGACCTTGTTTTGACCTTTATCTATGATAAGTAGATCAGTAGACTGATCAATCGATAGATAGAAGAGTCACTGTGAGCTCTATCTGTTCCCTCCATGGTGTTCAAAAAGTGCAAGTCAAGACCACGTTTGGTGTGAGATTGATTTGAGTTACTCTACATTTCTTTGCTACTGTGGTCTCTGAGATTGAGCAGATTCAAAATACGTTAAACTGAGGATGATCACCCCAACGCACCGCTGAGAGAACTGAGGCTTGTTGTGATTTGGCCAAAGCATCAGTGAGGCACCCAGCCTTTGAGACTGAGAATGGGGTTTCTGGCATCATACTGACTGGGTCAGAATCTAGGCTCTGGTCTAAACTAGCAGGGAGACTTGAGTAAATTACTTAATTCCTGGCCGGGCACAGTGACTCACACCTGTAATCCCAGCACTTTGGGACTCCGAGATGGGCGGATCAGCTGAGGTCAGGAGTTTGAGGCCAGCCTGGCCAACATGGTGAAACTCCATCTCTACTAAAAATACAAAAATTAGCCTGGTGTGGTGGCGTGTGCCTGTTATTCCAGCTACTTAGGAGGCTGTGGTAGGAAAATCGCTTGAACTCCGGAGGCGGAGGTTGTAGTGAGCGAGATCACACCACTGCACTTCAGCCTGCCTTGGTGACACAGCCAGACTCCGTCTCAAAATAAATAAATAATCACTTAATTCCTGGTAAACTACTTAATTGCTTGAGTAAATTACTTAATTCCTGAGTGCTTCAGTTTCCCCATATGTATGATGAAAATAATAACATTAAAGAACGTTCTACCAGGGGCCCAGGCCCCGCACTCACCAACGCTCTGCAGCGTGGCCACTAGCCCCCCGGCGGGGACGCCGCCCCCATTCATGATCGCAGACCAGCTCATCAGCGAGGCAGCCACCGAGTTGGCCGCGATGCCGGCGCCGGTGAAGCCCAGCGCAGGCAGCCCGGCGACCGCGAGTCCTGGAGGAACAGGAGCGGGTGAGGGAGCGCCCTCGGCAGAGGCCCGCCCCACCTGCCCGAGATTCTCCCCCTCCAGACCCACCTCCTCCGATGGCCATGAAGGTCAGGGCCTTCCAGAACCCGGAACCGCTGTCCGAGCTCTCCGAGCACTCTTTCTTGCCTGCAGGAGAGCAGACAAAGCGTAGTGGGGGTGTTGGGGTGGAATGCAGGGCTCCCCTGCTCTGTGTCTGATGCTCAGGACCACTCCTGGAGGCGGGGGCCATCGCTCTCCTACTCAGAGAGCCTCACAGAGCGGAAGGGACTTTTCCCTGGGCGCCGAGCCTGGCACAGAACTAGCATTGAATAAATTTCGTTAGGATGGAGGAATGAACAGAGTAGTGGGATTTGAATCTGGGACTCTGGCGACACCAACCCTGCACTGTCCGTTGAAATGAACCCTGCCAGGGTCTCTACAGAAGCACGCCAGAATCTCTACACTCGGGACCCTGAAACTCTCTCCCTTATCCCACCCTCCTCCCATCCCCCAGCACCCTTATTTGCCTCCTTACTTGTCCCCTTACCTGCACCCTTATTTGTTCCCTTACCTGCACCCTTACCAGCAACCTTACCCGCATCCTTACCGGCATCCTTACCTGCACCCTTACCTGCACCCTTACCGGCATCCCTACCTGCACCCTTACCGGCATCCTTACCTGCACCCTTACCGGCACCCTCACCTGCATCCTTACCGGCACCCTCACCTGCATCCTTACCGGCACCCTTACCTGCATCCTTACCTGCACCCTTACCTGTATCCTTACCGGCACCCTTACCTGCATCCTTACCTGCACCCTTACCGGCATCCCTACCTGCACCCTTACCGGCCCCCTTACCTGCACCCTTACCCACATTCTCACCTGCCTCCACCCCGCTGCAAGTGAAGAGCAGCAGGTAGCACAAGAAAAGCGATACCGCCTTCTGCCGCATGGTGGCGCCGCGCGCAGGCTCCGTCGCTAGACCTGCGAATAGGCGAGAGGGAGATGGTCACCGGAGCATTTTTGGAGCTCATCAGCTCCGTTGTTTTCCCTTCCAATTCCGACTGAATCAGTAAAAAGCAGCGAGGTGCGGTGAATGGAATCCAGGATCCCTGTCAGGAGCCTCGGGAATCTGTTTCCTCTCCGCATCAGTGGCAGAGATGTCCCTGCCCCAACCGGTGGGTGTGCGGATTCGCACGGTGTTTACCGCAGATGTCAATATCATGACTGTGGTTGTTCTTGGCCTTGTACCCAAGTGACCTTGGGCAGGATACCAGGGTACTTTGCTTCTCTGGGCTTCAGTTTATTTATTTCTAAAATTAGGGTATTAATAGAGTCTATTTCAGAGGGTACTTGTGAATTTAGTAACTGTTCCACGCTGTATCCCCGGCACTTTGAACAGTGCCTGACGCATAGAATTTGCTTTAAAAAAATTTTTTTTAAGATAAACTCGTTCTTACAATGCATTGAATATCTACAGGCACCAAACATTGGCCTCACATCGATTTAATTTTTTTCAGAAAGAAAGTACGGAAGGGTGTGTGGAAAAAGAAACTCAGTTTCCCTCACTGTACAAGAGGCTTCTGATAGCAGATGTGTGGAGGTTTCTCCCCACCAGCAAGCAAGCAATCAGTCCTCTGGTGAACACCAGCTGAGGGTCCCCAAATTCCATTCTGACACCACTATGGGTAGATAGTGGCCGATCGCACATGTTGAGGGTTCAGTCCCCCAGACTGCCCATTGAAAGCCCTATGTTGTTTTACCTGTGCTTCTGACTGACTATAGATTGGGGTTCCCACAATTCCCTTCTGCAGTTTTATTAATTTGCTAGAGCAGCTCACAGAACTCAGGGAAACACTTTGCTTACATTTACTGGTTTCTTTCTATAAAAAAAAATTGATCTTGTGTTGTTTTGAGACAGGGTCTCACTCTGTTGCTCAGGCGGGTGTGCCGCGGCCCCATCTCAGCTCACTGCGACCTTCGCCTCCCAGGCTCAAGTGATCCTCCCACTTCAGCCTCCAGAGTAGCTGGGACTACAAGTATGCACCACCGCACCCAGCTTTTTTTTTTTTTTTTTTTTTTTTGAGACAGGGTTTCACCATGTTGCCTGGTCTTGAACTCCTGAGCTCAAGCAATCTGCCTGCCTCAGCCTCCTAAAGTGTTGGGATTACAGGCGTCAGCCACCACACCCAGCCACATTTACTGATTCCTTATGGATATTACAAATGCTGCAGATGAAGAGATGCACAGGGCAAGGTATGGGAGAAAGGGCATGGAGTTTTCATTCCTCTCCAGAAGCACCACCCACTGGGAGCCTCTTTGTATTCCGCTATCTGGAAGCTCGTCAAACCCTGTCCTTTTGTGTTTTTGTGGAGGCTTCATTACATAGGCACGACTGATTAAATCATTGCCCATTGGTAATCAGCTTTACCTTCAGCCCCTCTCCCCTCCCCAGAGGAAATGCCAGCCATCACTCAACTTATTAGACAGTTAACACTCAAAAGATATTTATCACTTTGAAGATTCCAAGGATTTTAGGAGTTGTATGCCAGCACCTGGGGGATGAAAAAATATATTTTACAATATCACAAGGGATAAAGGTCACACAGCAAATTGTGCAACATGGGTATACATTCAAGACTGTCAAAATTGAGAACCTATGCTCTTTCCTTTATACCACAAAACTGGAAAATGCATATGCCCTCAGACTCACCTCTAACGCGACCTTTGTCAGCTCAATGCCATTTCCTTAAATTAAAAAGAAAAACAAGAAACTCCTCTCAAGTATTGAGTACTTAGCACTTTATGGCATGCAGTCCACGTGTATCTATAATGATACCATGAAGTCGGTACCATTGTTATCAACCACATGTTATAGGTAAGGAACTGAAGCTCAGAGAGGTTAAGTAATATTCCCAAGGCTGCCTAGCCAGGTCATGGAAAAGTCAGGGTTTAAACCCACAATTGGCTAATACCCAAAGCCCAGTTTTTTTTTTTTTTTTGGAGACAGAGTCTCATTCTGTCACCCAGGCTGGAGTGCAGTGGCGTGATCTCAGATCACTGCAACCTCCGCCTCACAGGTTCAAGGGATTCTCCTGCCTCAACCTCCCGAGTAGCTGGGATTACAGCCATGTGCCAGCATGCCCGGCAAATTTTTGTATTTTTAGTAGCGACGGGGTTTCACCATGTTGGCCAGGCTGGTCTCGAACTCCTGATCTCGTGATCTGCCCACCTTGGCCTCCCCAAAGTGCTGGGATTACAGGTGTGAGCCACCGCGCCCGGCCCCGGCCCCAAAGCCCACATTTTTAACAACCATTCCAGATGGCTTCATCTATCCTCAAAGATGAACTCACTGTCACATTGGATCCTATAATAAAGGGGCTTCTAAAATCATCCAGTCCTTTGAGCAGGTAAGGCAACTTAACCTTCCTTTTACAGAGGAAGCAATTAAGGTTCCAAGAGGTGACAGGGCTAAGGCCACAGATCGCTGATATTGCACCTGTAACCTGGGTCTCATGCCTCTTGGGGTTTTGTATCCAGTCTCCCTAAAATCTCCAACCCATCCTCTTAGACAAGTCCCAGCCCAGGGCACTAAAAGGGACCCAGGGATGCTGCTCCCTGGAGAAGGGGCCTCCTGGCTCTCAGAACATGAGATTTACAGGCAGGTAGGCAGCCTGGCAGAGGGTGGCAGCTTGATGCCCACACTTCATAGCTCCTGAGTTTACCTTGGAGGACAGAAGAGAAGCAATCTTCAGCCCGGAGCCTGCTGATAGATGGGCACAGCGGCGAGTAAACGGTTCTCCGGCTGAAGGCTGGCTTTTTATCATCACTTGCGGATCCTCCCACGTCTCACCCCAGGCAGCCAATCCCTGCCGGAGTTTCTATTTCTGCACTCTGCAGTTTCCTTTTCCCCTCTCTCCCAGCCCCTGCGCTCTGCAGTTTCATTTTCCCCTCTCTCCCAGCCCCTGCACTCTGCAGAGTTTCATTTTCCCCTCTCTCCCAGCTCCGCCCAGCAGAAGCATTTGTGTGCTGCCTGCTGGCAGAAAAATACACTTCAAGCTGAGGACTTTTGGAGCCCCTAAGGGTATTCAAAGCATGTCACACTATGGTGACAGCTACGGCCATACTGGGCTTAGTGAAGCCTGATCACCAGCTCCCCCTGGGGCACACAGGCCTTTCACCCTTCAATCCAACTGATAAACAACACCTACCATTTATTGAGCACTTGCTGCATGCCAGGATCTGTGCAAAGTGCTCTATTTACATGATCTTTTTCCAATCCCACAGTAGTCATGTGACACACCATATGCTGTTTATAATCCCCCAGAACTTTAGAAATTAAGTCACTTTGTTCCATTGTCTCTCAGGCTGGCTGCTTCTGCGGCATGGGCATATGGTAAGACCAGTGAAGCCTGTGTTCGTGTGGCCATCATGATACATCTTGAGTTTCAAGATGGGTCCTCTGGCCCTAGGTAATGAACTGAGCATTCTTTAAAGCCTTTGGCTGGTGATGCTTGAAGCACTATAGGTCAGAAATGCAACCTCCATTTGGAAAACATAGAAATTCCGGTAAGGATGAATCATTGCCTTCTCCCAAGTGGAAGGGGTCTGAAATAATTGACCTGCCACCAGATGGCTGGCTATTCTCATTGAGCAATTTTGCCATATTGCTACCTGCTGCTGGAAGATTGGCTACATTTTGGCAATTGCCAGATCAGTTTTTGTGAGAGGGAGCCCAAGTTGTTGGACTCATTTCTAACCCCCATCCTTACCTTGCAATAGACACTCATAGGTCCATTGCAAGGCAATAGTGGGGCTAAGTTGAGAGGCTGGCTGACGTCCACGGGATGGGACATTCTGCTCATCGGGCTGTAAAGCCTCCTCTGCAGCAGGTGATCTCTGGTCGGCATTAACATGAGACACAGAGATCCACGTGCTTTATGTCCATTCAGAGTTCATTCTTATGCCCCAACCCACACCTGCTTATTCCCAATCTTCCAATCTTGTTCCATCTATGCCTTTGACTGACCAGCCAAGACACTGGCCACTTATTAGGAATTGGTGTATGCCTGTACCTCAGTCCATCTCTCTCTCTCTCTCTCTCTGCATACAGAGGGAACAACACGGTATACTACTCCTAGTTCTGCCCCCTGGGAGGATTCACTATTATTCAGGGCCACCCCCAACTGGAGCTGTAATAGAGTGGTCCATTTCCAGCTGGTACCAAAATATTATACTGACTTATCTGTGAATTGGGTTCGACTCCTTTCCTCCATTATCTGTTGGTTGCTGGGAACACTCCATGAGGTCATATATGTGGGTCAAGGAGAAAACCCAGAGAGACAGAGTTGGGTGCCACAGGACTCTGAGCTCCCCGTTTATTTAATTTACTCATGCCTTTTAGACCCCTTTTGCTCAGCCTTAAATATACCATTTCCATCATATATTTTTTGTTTTGTTTTGTTCTTTGTTTTTTGTTGTTATTGTTTTTGTTTTTGAGACAGTCTTGCACTGTCCCCCAGGCTGGAGTGCAGTGGTGTGATCTCGTCTTACTGCAACCTCTGCCTTCCGGGTTCAAGCGATTCTCCTGCCTCAGCCTCCCGAGTAGCTGGGATTACAGGCACGCACCACCATGCCCAGCTAATTTTTTTTGTATTTTTAGTAGAGATGGGGTTTTGCCATGTTGTCCAGGCTGGTCTTGAACTCCTGACCTCAGGTGATCCGCCCACCTGTGCCTCCCAAAGTACTGGGATTACAGGTGTGAGCCGCTGTGCCCAGCCTCTTTGTTGTTTTGTTGGTTTGTTTGTTCATTTGTTAGAGACAGGGTATGATTGTATCACTCTGTTGCCTGGGCTGGAGTGCAGTGGTACAATCATAGCTTACTGCAGCCTTGACTTCCTAGGCTTAAGAAATCATCCCACTTCACCCTCCCAAGTATCTGGGACCACAGGCATGTGCCACCACACTCAGCTAATTTTTATATTTCTTTTAGAGATGGAGGTCTCACTACATTGCCCATGCTGGTCTCCAACTCCTGGTTCCAAGTGGTCCTTCTGCCTCGGGGTCTTAAAGTGCTGGAATTACAGGCATGAGCCAATGTGCCCGGCTTCCATCACATATGGAATTGCTGCTCTACCTTTCTGATAATACCCAACTTAAGATGTATAGCTAACTGGCATCCAGTGGTGAGATGCATAGTCACTACTGGGGCTCAGTGGCACATCAGGGCCTCTTTTCCCAAAGGGACCACAGTAACCATAGCCTTAATCCAGAATCCTAAGAATCCTAACTGCAATTCTCCTGTGTGGACTTCCAGAGACTCTCTACAGAATCCTATTTTTTTTCCTCCCTACAGAATCATTATCCGTCTTTACACAGATATATCCAGCAACGCTGCATCTTTGGATCATATAATCAGAGGTGGCAGCATAGCTTGTTTTGTGGCCTGAACCTGCCACACAGTTAAGAGGAAAGAAAAAACCAAAACGACCTAATGTGCCTTTTTTTTTCCTTTTTGAGATGGAGTCTCACTCTGTCACCCAGGCTGGAGTGAAGTGGTGCGATCTCGGCTCACTGCAAGCTCTGCCTCCCGGTTTCACGGCATTCTCCTGCCTCAGCCTCCTGAGTAGCTGGGACTGCAGGCACCCACCACCATGTCCAGCTAATTTTTTGTGTTTTTAGTAGAGATGGGGTTTCACTGTGTCAACCAGGATGGTCTTGATCTCCTGACTTCATGATCCACCCACCTCGGCCTCCCAAAGTGTTGGGATTACAGGTGTGAGTCACCGCGCCTGGCCCGCTTTTTCTATTCTCTCACTCAACGCAACAATCACCACAGACCAGATGTGTGGGTGGGGTTTTTTCCCCACACCCCAAGCAGCAGACACCAGCTGGGTGTCCTCTGATTCAATTATTATTATTATTATTATTATTATTATTATTTGAGATGGAGTTTCACTCTTGTTGCCCAGGCTGGAGTGCAGTGGTACTATATCGGCTCACCGCAACCTCCACCTCCCCGGTTCAAGCGATTCTCCTGACTCAGCCTCCTGAGTAGCTGGGATTACAGGCTTGCACCACCACACCTGGCTAATTTTGTATTTTTAGTAGAGACGGAGTTTCTCCATGTTTGTCAGGCTGGTCTCAAACTCCCAACTTCAAGTGATCCACCCAAAGTGCTGGGATTACAGGTGTGAGCCACCTCGCCCAGCCTCAATTCTTTTTTTTTTTAATTATTAAAATAAAAATATGGAATGCTTCATGAATTTGCACGTCATCCTTGCACAGGGGCTATGCTAATCTTCTCTGTATTGTTCCAATTTTAGTATATGACGAAGTGAGCACTTTTTTCTTTTCTTCAGACAGGGTCTCACTGTGTCACCAAGGTTGGCTCAATCACAGCTCACTGCAGTCTCGACCTCCTGGGTTCAAGCAATCCTCCTGCCTCAGCCTCCCGAGTAGCTGGGACTATAGGGGTGCACCGTCATGCCTGGATAATTTTTGTATTTTTTGTAAAGATGGGGTTTTGCCATGTTGGCCAGGCTAGTCTCAAATTCCTAGGCTCAAGGAATCTGCCTGCCTCAGCCTCCCAAAGTGCTGGTATTACAGGCATGGGCCACTGTGCCCAGCCTCCAATTCAATTCTGACATTGTCTACCTGCAGAGAGCATTGATCCTACAAGTTGAGGGACTCCTCAACACTGACCCTCAAAGACACAAATCAGGGCTTCTGGAACTTCCGACTGGTTGCAAGTTGGGATTCCCATAACCCCTTCTTTGGGTTTGATTAATTTGCTAGAGAAGCTCCTAAAGCACAGGGAAACACAGTTAGCAGTTTACCATACAGGAAATTACAAAGGCTACATGAAGAGATGTATTGGGTGAGGTATGAGGGAATGGGCACAGCGTCCTCTAGGAACATCCATGTGTTCAGCAATTGGGAAGCTCTCAGAACCCTGTCTTTTTTTTTTTTTTTATGGAGGCTTCATTACATAAGAATGATTGATTAAACCATTGGCCACTGGTGATCAACTTAACTTTCAGTCCTTCTCCCCTTCAGTGGGTGGAGCTGAAAGTTCCAGCCCTTTAACCCTGCCTTGGTCTTCCCAGTGACCAGCCCTATCCTCAAGCTACCTAGGGACTGCTAGCCATCAGTCAATCATTAGTATACAAAGCATGGTGGCATACCCCTATAGCCCAAGCTGTTCAAGAGGCTGAGGTGGGAAGATTACTTGAGCCTAGAAATTCAAGTCCAGCCTGGGCAACACAGTGAGATTCCATCTCTAAAAAATAACAAGGCGGGGGTACCTGTAATCAGCATTGAGCGAAGGATCAAGGTAGGAGAGACCATCTGCTACAGTGAACGTCTTAAAAATACAAAATAGCGGTGGGTGGGGTGTGTAGTCCAGCTACCGGAGTGAGGCGGAGAATGGGTAACCGGGAGCGGATTGATGAGGAGATCGGCATGACCCAGGCTACAGAAGACTCGTCAAAAAAAAAAAAAATAAATAAATAAAAAAAAAAAAATATAGTATACAAAAGGCATCACTTTGGAGACACCAAGGATTTTAGGAATTGTATGCCAGGAAATGAGGTGTGGGGGAATGGGCACAGCGTCCTCCAGGAACATCCATGTGTTCAGCTGTTGGGAAACTCTTGGAACCCTGTCTTTTTGGTTTTTTATGGAGGCTTCATTACTTATTTCAAATATCTATTTCACAATATCACGGTCCACCTCTGGTTTTCAAACGCCACCCCCCCCTTTTTTTTTTTTTTTTTGAGATGTGGTTCTGTCGCCCAGGCTGGAGTGCAGTGGCATGATCTTGGCTCACTGCAGCTCCA